GAGGGGGGGTCCCCGGAGTAGCCTGAGGAGGTGAGAGCGCCACCAACTGCAGGAATCCTGTAACTTCTTATTGTACCGAGAGTCCCCGATACAGTGCAGGAAATGTGTATTTGCCCCCCCCCCCCCCCTGATGCTGAATGTTCGCCCCTCACACAGAAACGATCGGTCTAACAATGGAATGTTCGCCCCTCACACAGAAACGATCGGTCTAACAATGGAATGTTCGCCCCTCACACAGAAATGATCGGTCTAACAATGGAATGTTCGCCCCTCACACAGAAATGATCGGTCTAACAATGGAATGTTCGCCCCTCACACAGAAACGATCGGTCTAACAATGGAATGTTCGCCCCTCACACAGAAACGATCGGTCTAACAATGGAATGTTCGGTGTAACACTGAGAGACAGAATACAACAACAAATTCAGCAGAAATGCATCTAACAAATGATGACGGATCTGCATGTTCATGAGGGAAAGAAGGATTTGATCCCCTATCATTCAGCAGGATTTCTGGCTCCCAGGTGTCTCTCATACAGGTAACAAGCTGAGATTAGAAGCAGTCTCTTAAAGGGAGTGCTGCTAATCTCATTGTGTTACCTGTATAACAGACACCTGTCCACAGGAGCCATCAAACCATCAGATTCCAAACTCTCCACCATGGCAAAGACCAAAGAGCTGTCCAAGGATGTCAGGGACAAGATGGTAGACCTACACAAGGCTGGACTGGGCTACCAAACTATGGCCAAGCAGCTTGGTGAGAAGGTGACAACAGTTGGTGCAATCATTCACAAATGGAAGAAACACAAAACAAGTGTCAGTCTCCCTAGGTCTGGTGCACCATGCAAGATCTCACCTCGTGGGGTGTCAATGATCATGAGAACAGTGAGGAATCATCCCAGAACTACACGTGAGGATCTTGTCAATGATCTCCAGGCAGCTGGGACCACAGTCACCAAGAAAACAATTGGTAACACACTACGCCGACAAGGACTGAAATCCTGCAGTGCCCGCACGGTCCCTCTGCTCAAGAAAGCCCATGTCCAGGCCCGTCTGAAGTCTGCCACTGAACATCTGAATGATGCCGAGGAGGACTGGTGGGAAGTGTTGTGGTCAGAGGAGACCAAAATCCAGCTCTTTGGCATCAACTCAACTCGCCGTGTTTGGAGGAGGAGGAATGCTGCCTATGACCCCAAGAACACCGTCCCAACTGTGAAACATGGCGGTGGAAAACATTCTGCTTTGGGGGGGGGTTTCTGCTAAGGGGACAGGACAACTGCACCGCATCAAAGGGACGATGGACGGGGCAATGTACCCTCAAATCTTGGGTGAGAACCTTCTTCCCTCAGCCAGGGCATTGAAAATGGGTGGTGGATGGGTGTTCCAGCATGACAATGACCCAAAAACACACGGCCAAGGCAACAAAGGAGCGGCTCAAGAAGAAGCACATTAAGGTCCTGGAGTGGCCTAGCCAGTCTCCACACCTTCATCCGATGGAAAATCTGTGGAGGAGCTGAAAGTTCGAGTTGTCAAACGTCAGCCACCAAACCTTAATGACTTGGAGAAGATCTGCCAAGAGGAGTGGGCCAAACTCCCTTCTGAGATGTGTGCGAACCTGGGGGCCAACTCCAGGAAACGTCTGACCTCTGTGATTGCCAACAAGGGATTGGCCACCAAGTACTAAGTCATGTTTTGTGAAGGGGATCCAATCCTTCTTTCCCTCATGAACATGCAGATCAGTCATCATTTGTTAGACGCATTTCTGCTGAATTTGTTGTTGTATTCTGTCTCTCAGTGTTACACCGAACATTCCATTGTTAGACCGATCATTTCTGTGTGAGGGGCGAACATTCCATTGTTAGACCGATCGTTTCTGTGTGAGGGGCGAACATTCCATTGTTAGACCGATCATTTCTGTGTGAGGGGCGAACATTCCATTGTTAGACCGATCATTTCTGTGTGAGGGGCGAACATTCCATTGTTAGACCGATCATTTCTGTGTGAGGGGCGAACATTCCATTGTTAGACCGATCGTTTCTGTGTGAGGGGCGAACATTCCATTGTTAGACCGATCGTTTCTGTGTGAGGGGCGAACATTCCATTGTTAGACCGATCATTTCTGTGTGAGGAGCGAACATTCCATTGTTAGACCGATCATTTCTGTGTGAGGGGCGAACGTTCCATTGTTAGACCGATCATTTCTGTGTGAGGGGCGAACATTCACCATCAGAGGGGGCAAATACGCATTTCCTTCCTGTATACATTGTTCCAGTGTGGTCCAGCTATGTCTGTACCGTATCCGTGGGATCCCCCTGGGAGATGGAAATCACTGGGTTAGACTACACTGCTACTACACCACTTTTCTGAAGTCCCGCAGAGAAGTGATCACACAAAACCAGCCCCCGGTGCAAAAAGAAGGTGAAGCACACTAAGTGCGCAGGGTGTACGTCGGGCCCTCCGAAGAGAAAGGGCCCCTAGCCCTGATCCCCCCGGGGCCCAGGGCTCCTGACAGGGACTGAGGCACTCACTGGTCCACCTGGCCAAAGCAAGGCCACCCTGAGTACTCAGCGGGGCTCCCCCAAAGGGAGACCCCCCATGGGAGGGGGAGTTTCAGGGCGGGTCTGAGGACCTCCCCCTACTATCGGGGGGAGGGGTGAAGTGCATACTGTGCTGTGCACACTGACATGGGGGCGGGGCCGAAACCAGGAAGAACCGACTCCTCTGCTCCCGGCCCTAGAGACAGGCGTGTGGTGCCGAGACCGCACAGCGAGCTCCCTGACCCCGGAGCCGAGACCGCACAGCGAGCTCCCTGACCCCGGAGCCGAGACCGCACAGCGAGCTCCCTGACCCCGGAGCCGAGACCGCACAGCGAGCTCCCTGACCCCGATGCCGAGACCGCACAGCGAGCTCCCTGACCCCGGAGCCGAGACCGCACAGCGAGCTCCCTGACCCCGGAGCCGAGACCGCACAGCGAGCTCCCTGACCCCGGTGCCCAGACCGCACAGCGAGCTCCCTGACCCCGGAGCCGAGACCGCACAGCGAGCTCCCTGACCCCGGAGCCGAGACCGCACAGCGAGCTCCCTGACCCCGGAGCCGAGACCGCACAGCGAGCTCCCTGACCCCGGAGCCGAGACCGCACAGCGAGCTCCCTGACCCCGGAGCCGAGACCGCACAGCGAGCTCCCTGACCCCGGAGCCGAGACCGCACAGCGAGCTCCCTGACCCCGGTGCCCAGACCGCACAGCGAGCTCCCTGACCCCGGAGCCGAGACCGCATAGCGAGCTCCCTGACCCCGGTGCCGAGACCGCACAGCGATCTCCCTGACCCCGGAGCCGAGACCGCACAGCGACCTCCCTGACCCCGGAGCCGAGAGACCGCACAGCGAGCTCCCTGACCCCGGTGCCCAGACCGCACAGCGAGCTCCCTGACCCCGGAGCCGAGACCGACCGCACAGCGAGCTCCCTGACCCCGGAGCCGAGACCGCACAGCGAGCTCCCTGACCCTGGAGCCGAGACCGCACAGCGAGCTCCCTGACCCCGGAGCCGAGACCGCACAGCGAGCTCTCTGACTGAGAATTTCCAAAGCAAGGTCACCCCGAGTGCTTAGTGGCCCCCCCCACTCTTTTTATTCCCAGGCCTGCCACTCCGGGGGGGGGGGGGGTTCACATACCCCGCAGGCTTCCTTCTCACCCCGCCCAGCCCCACCCTCACCAGGAAGGCATCAGAACGTAGGGAGAGCCTTGCCTATGACCAGGGACCAGCTTGTACGGAGGTGTATTATAGCACAGAGTACGGAGGTGTATTATAGCACAGAGTACGGGGGTGTATTATAGCACAGAGTGCGGAGGCGTATTATAGCACAGAGTGCGGAGGCGTATTATAGCACAGAGTGCAGAGGCGTATTATAGCACAGGGTACGGGGGTGTATTATAGCACAGAGTGCGGAGGCGTATTATAGCACAGAGTGCGGAGGCGTATTATAGCACAGAGTGCGGAGGCGTATTATAGCACAGAGTGCAGAGGCGTATTATAGCACAGGGTACGGAGGCGTATTATAGCACAGGGTACGGGGGTGTATTATAGCACAGAGTGCGGAGGCGTATTATAGCACAGAGTGCGGAGGCGTATTATAGCACAGAGTGCGGAGGCGTATTATAGCACAGAGTGCAGAGGCGTATTATAGCACAGGGTACGGGGGTGTATTATAGCACAGGGTGCGGAGGCTTATTATAGCACAGAGTGCGGAGGCGTATTATAGCACAGGGTATGGGGGTGTATTATAGCACAGGGTACGGAGGCTTATTATAGCACAGAGTGCGGAAGCGTATTATAGCACAGGGTACGGAGGTGTATTATAGCACAGAGTACAGATATAACCTCTTTGCGCAGTCACTTGCAGTATATACGGTATAGGAGAGCCCACATATTGTAGTATATACGGTAGGAGATGCACATCTACTCTGGAGTATACGGCTGGCAGTGCGCAGCTATTCTGGGACATGTGGGAGGAGTGAGCCGCTAGTCCGGTATATAAGGGGGAGGTATTTCCGGGTTGGGTGGGGTAATTACGGTAGTGATTTGGGTTGGAGGAGGAGATCAGTGCAGGTAGGTGGCTGTCCCCCTCCCCCCATATCCAATATATATCTCCCCCTATATACAGTATATATATATATCCTGGAATGGGCTCCCTGTACAGCGGGTCTGGGTGCAGTGAGGACTGTCTGTGCTTCCTGTATTAATAATAGGCTAATGGGAGGGGTGGCCCTGGGGGTCAGGAGCTCACTGTCTTGTATGGGGGACGGTGTGGGGGTCAGGAAGGCAGTAGTGGGGTCCCCGGGGGGCCCCAGTGTATGGGAAGGAGCTCCAGACATGAGAACATCCACAACTGAGTTTTATCACATTTATTATCTACAAACAATTCCAACTGTCCTTTACCTGAATGGGGAGAAGTTCCCTGAACCTGTGTGCTGGGGCCCCGAAGGTGCGGTGTACCGTACAGCACACAGGTGTGCCGGCTCCTCCCCTTCAGTCTTGCACAGGTGTGCCGGCTCCTCCCCTTCAGTCTTGCACAGGTGTGCCGGCTCCTCCCCTTCAGTCTTGCACAGGTGTACTGGCTCCTCCCCTTCAGTTTTGCACAGGTGTACCGGCTCCTCCCCTTCAGTCTTGCACAGGTGTACCGGCTCCTCCCCTTCAGTCTTGCACAGGTGTACCGGCTCCTCCCCTTCAGTCTTGCGCAGGTGTACCGGCTCCTCCCCTTCAGTCTTGCACAGGTGTAGCAGCTCCTCCCCTTCAGTCTTGCGCAGGTGTAGCGGCTCCTCCCCTTCAGTCTTGCACAGGTGTACCGGCTCCTCCCCTTCAGTCTTGCACAGGTGTACTGGCTCCTCCCCTTCAATCTTGCACAGGTGTACCGGCTCCTCCCCTTCAGGCTTGCACAGGTTTACCGGCTCCTCCCCTTCAGGCTTGCATAGGTGTAGCGGCTCCTCCCCTTCAGCCTTGCACAGGTGTAGCGGCTCCTCCCCTTCAGCCTTGCACAGGTGTAGCGGCTCCTCCCCTTCAGCCTTGCACAGGTGTAGCGGCTCCTCCCCTTCAGGCTTGCACAGGTGTACCGGCTCCTCCCCTTCAGGCTTGCACAGGTTTACCGGCTCCTCCCCTTCAGGCTTGCATAGGTGTAGCGGCTCCTCCCCTTTTGTCAGGATCCCTCTACTCTTTACATCAGAGTCTCACCACCCCCCAGCTAAATCGGGGGGCCCTTATCAGACTGCCCACCCCCCATACATCAGGGTCCCCATCAGAGCCCATCATTGACCACAACAGTGGGGCGCCCCCCCCGACCCCAGGACAATTTATACTCCCGATGGCCACAGTCTGTCCCCCCCCCCCCCCCAAAGTCTGGGGGACAGTAAACTGGCCCTTTGTTTAGAAAGTTTGGGGCCCCCTGCTGTAATACAATGTGATCCTCCGAGGACCCCTCCCCCCCTCCTCTTCTCTCTGCTACTATAATCAAACAAGGCTAGGGGGTAAAAACAGGCATTTTGGCTGTGTATTTACTGCCCCTCCCAGCCACCCACTGAAAGTCTAACAATGCAGCTGGAGGGGGTCGTACACATCCTGGAGCCACAATGCTTCCCGTCCTGGTCAGTGGGACCACCGCAAGCCAAACACTTGCAGCGCATTAGTTTTATATTTTTAAGATGCTGTAAGAGGAAAAACGGGCGATGACCCTATCGCCCCCTGAACTCCCACTGCTGTCTGAAAAGCGATCCACTGCAGGGGGTGCTACAAACTTCTTCCTGTGTGAGCCCAGCCTTACAGAAGGCTGCCAATCATTTTTTTTTTTTCTTCACTGAACCCTGAACTAAGTTTCTAATCCCAGCTATGAGGTCAGACTGGATGCTCCTCCCCTCCCCCCCCCGCCCCCTCCACAAATATCCAACAACAGCTAGGGAGGAGATGGCCGCTTCATGACAGCCACTTGCCCTGGTTCTGAGCGCTGTCCCAAGACCAGTGGTGGCATGAGGAATGCAGTGGGGGAGGGGTGGAGTCCACCTCCCATTTTTTTTTTGCTGCCAGATAAAGAAGTGGCCTTCTCCTTAGTGGTTTTTTGGCCACTACTGGGAGGGGGAGGGGTTGGTGTCAGGTGCCCAGGGTCTCCAACAACATAGCTGGGCTTTGGAGGCATCTAGCAACGTTCCTCCTGTATCAGGGAAGTGCTCAGAGCCAAGACAAGAGGCCCTTATAAGGTGGCCGTTTCCTTCCTAGCTGTTGTTGGACGTCTCTTTTTGTGGGGCGGGACTACTGGGGGGGTGGGGGCGGCTACTTGGAGGGGTTGGTGTCGGGGTGCCCATAATGTCCAACAACATAGCTAGGCTTTGGAGGCACCTAGCAACGTTCCTCCTGTCTCGGGGAAGTGCTCAGCTCCAAGACAAGAGGCCCTTATAAGGTGGCCATTTTCTTCCTAGCTGTTGTTGGACTTCTTTCTTTGGGGGGGGGGGGCTACTGGGAGGGGGGAGGGGTTGGTGTCAGGTGCCCAGGGAATTCAACAACATAGCCAGGCTTTGGAGGCATCTAGCAATGTTTCTCCTGTCTCGGGAAAATGCTCAGAGCCCAGAAAAGAGGCCCTTATTAGGTGGCCATTTCCTTCCTAGCTGTTTTCGGATGTCTTTCTTTTGGGGGGGGGGCTACTGGGAGGGGGGAGGGGTTGGTGTCAGGTGCCCAGGGAATTCAACAAAATAGCTAGGCTTTGGCGGCACCTAGCAATGTTCCTCCTGTCTCAGGGAAGTGCTTGTAGCCAAGACAAGGAGCCCTTATCAAGTGGCCATTTCCTTCCTAGCTGTTGTTGGACGTCTTTTTTTTTTTGGGGGGGGGGGAGGGATTTGTGTCAGGTGCCCAACAACATAGCTAGGCTTCTGAGGCACCTAGCAAATTTCCTCCTGTCTTGGGGAAGTGCTCAGAGCCAAGATAAGAGGCACTTAGGTGGCCGTTTCCTTCCTAGCTGTTGTCGGACGTCTTTTTTTTTTTGGGGGGGGGTGGGGCTACTGTGGGGTGGGGGTGGCTACTTGGGGGGGGTTGATGTTGGGTGCCCGGGATGTCCAAGAACTTAGCTAGGCTTCGGCGGCACCTAGCAACGTTCCTCCGGTCTCAGGAGTGTGCTTGGTGCCAAGACAGGAGGCCCTTATAAAGTGGCCGTTTCCTTCCTAGCTGTTGTCGGATGTCTTTTTTTTTTTTTTTGGGGGGGGGAGAACCTCATAGTTTGGGGTGAGAGACCACGTAGCAACATTTGACAAACTGCACCACGTACTTTGCGTTCGCTCAGCAGGTGACTTTTAACACCGGGGGGGGGGGGGGGCGGGCGCATATGAGTCCCTATAGGGACCTTGTCCTGTGCTGGGAGCGCACGCACTGCGAATGATCCCAATGTATACTTGGGATCGTGTGACCGCTGTAACTGCCAATCACGGCAGTCACATGATCGGAACGCCCGCCTCCCGGCATTTAGAACCTCTTAAAGGGCCGGGAAGCAGCTAATGGCCGATATTTTTAAAATCCCTTTTGTTGCCAGAGCCGTTTTTGCGTATTTTGCACACATGGTCCCCCCCCCCCTTCCTGTCCAGGACAATTTTTCAGCCTTCAGCGCCGTCACACTTTGAATGACGATTGGCTCCGACCAAGTCGGAATCTTAACGATAGGACCGCTTTAATGGCGGATAATAGGGTGCGGCTTGTCATGCGATTTGCAACTCGCGTTGGCGCGGCCGGACGCACCCGGTGTGACGGGGGTGGTAAGCAGGTGAGTTGGTGATCGGTGTGATACTTGTACGATCGGCCTGCAATCAGAATACATCGGTGAATCATTTTGTGCTGACTGCTACTTTGTAACGTGTTAGAGTGACGCGGCACAGGAAACGATCGATTGGTCCTGTGTGCGCCAGCATTGCGTACGATTGGGCAGGAAGGCGAAAGCCGGCCATACATTAACCGCTGATGGACCCCCCCCCCCCCCACACACACACACACATACATACTCCAGCGGGGCGGCCGCTCTGCACCGGATCGCATACATGTACGCGACGCAGCATTTCCGGGGGAGGGGGGGGGGAGGGCGAGCATGCGCCTACCGCAGCTCTAAGTCCGCCGATTGCCGCCATTAGCCCGCACTTTGTAGGCGCTGTAACTTCCACCGCCGATCCATATACACTTTTTTTTTTAACCAAGTAGGGTACATTTTGGCCAAAATTTATGCAGAAATTTGTTTTTTTTTTTTGTGTAATTGGATACATTTTATAGTGGAAAGTAAAAAAAATATCTTTTTCAAATTTTCAGTTGTTTGTTAGATGATATAAATAATAAAAAAATACCAAAAAAAGCTCTATTTGTGTGAAAAAAATAATAGAAATTTTAGTTTGGGTACAGCGTTGCATGATCGCGCAATTACCAGTGAAAGTAGCGCAGTGCTGAATAGCAAAGAATAAAATAAAAAATGCCGCGGTCATGAAGGGGGTCAAGCCTTTCCGGCGTTTTGCGGACCGCTTTCGGGGTGTTGTTAACATACACACCCGCAGCGGTTCCCATGAACGGGGGGGGCGAATCTGATGCGGTGTGGAATTCGCACTGAAAACGCTGCAAATTCTGCATCAGTGTGAACCCGGGATCAAAGTAGTGCAGTGCAGAATAGCAAAAAAACAAATAAAAAATGCCCTGGCCATGAACGGGGTCAAGCCTTTCCGGAGGCCAAGTGGCTGTAAAGCCTCCATATCCCCGATGCAGCGACCGGCCTCAGGTGATACACAGAGAGGAAAGAAATCCTCCCACATAAGTTGTACCTGTTTGTCTGCAGCAATCTCTCCTCTGCAGCCGTTCAAAGTGCTGAATTTATACAGCTTGTTTTGTGAATTCAGAAAAAAGGGGGCGGGGAGAGCTCTGAGCCTGGGTTCACATACATGCGGTGCGGTATATCGCATGTGATTGGCATGGGAACCGCTCCGCATTCCACTGCAGATTACATGTGATTTGTGGGCAGTGCGTTCGTACATTTCGTACATTTGTATGTCTCTAATCGCCCCGCACCAAAAACACGCAGAACCCTTTTTTGGTCCGCACTAGAATCGGATCGCACGGGTATTCACACCTATGGGATCCGATTCTGCGCATCGCACCGCGTTTTGCGGGTGTTGTTAACCCCTTCACACCGGCGCCTCCCGGCCCTTTAAGAGTTTCACAAGCCGGGGGGGCGGGGTTTAGGGATCATGTGACCGCCGTGATGTGTCATCACGGCGGTCACATGATCGGGAAAGGTCCCGATCGAAAGAGGAGATGGGGACCTATCCTTGAGTACCGGACGTGTGCTGGGAGCGCGCAGGGGTTTTTTTTTTAATAGAACGCAAGTGTGCGGCGGCCGCTCGCTGTAGGCCCAGACGCTGGGAAGCCGCACATTTGCGTTCAGCCGGCGTGAAGAGGTTAACATACACCCCCGCAGCGGTTCCCATGGACGGGAGGCGATTCTGATGCGGTGCGGAATTCCCACAGAAAACGCTGCAAATTTTCCACCGCGTCAGTGTGAACCCGGGCTTGGTTTGGGTACAGCGTTGCATGATCGCACAATTACCAGTGAACCTGGGTTCACATACATGCGGCGCGGTATATCGCATGTGATTTGCACAGGAACCGTTCCGCATTCCCCGCAGATCACGTGATTTGTGTGCGGTGCGATCGGAGGCGTACATTATGTATGGCTCTAATCACATCAAGAACACGCAGGACCCTTTTTTTTTGGTCGGCACTGGAATCAGACGGCTCGGGTATTCACACCTCTATGATCCGATTCTGCGCATCGCGCTGCATTTTGCGGACCGATTTCGGGGTGTTAACATTCACACCCGCAGCGGTTCCCATGAATGGGGTGCGATTCTGATGCGGTGCGGAATTCACACAGAAAACGCTGCAAATTCCTCACCACATCTGTGTGAACCCGGGCTTGGTTTGGGTACAGCGTTGCATGACTGCGCAATTACCAGTGAGCCCGGGTTCATATATATATGCAGTGCGGTACCTGGCATGTGATTGGTACGGAACCGCCCCGCATTCCCTGCCGATCACATGCGATTTGTGTGCGGTGCGATCGGAGGCATACATTATGTACGGCTCTAATCGCATCAAGAACACGCAGGACCCCTTTTTTTTTGGTCCGCATTCGAATCGGATCGCACCGGTATTCACACCTATGGGATCCGATTCTGCGCATCGCACCGCTTTTTGCAGCCCAATTTCGGGGTGTTGTTAACGCACACGCCCGCAGCGGTTCGCATGAACGGGGGGCGATTCTGATGCGGTGCGGAATTCGCATTGGAAACGCTGCAAATTTCTAACCGCGTCAGTGTGAACCCGGGATCAAAGTAGTGCGGTGCAGAATAGCAAAATATAAATGCCCCGGTCATGAAGGGGGTCAAGCCTTTCCGGCGTTTTGCG